AAAGCGGCAATCGAGTCGCTGTGCGACTCGATAAACCGTTGCTGTAACTGTATTCTACAACTGTTTTCTTATCTTCTATATATTGCTGTATGCTTGTTTCTTTAATTAATCACTTGTTCTCACATACTAGTACGGTACAAGGGTTCAACCGTCTCAACTTCCGCTGCACTACTCAAAGTCTCAAGTCTTCACAGCTGGGACTTAGTCTCTGAAAGGATCCTAAGGGCTTTTCTCAGCCCAATAATAACAATTGACATCTATACATGTACCTGTATTTGGCATGTGAGTTCCAGCATGTTGCTGGTGTTGTTTACGAGAGACAGGTCACAGGGGGGTTGTTGTCAAGCATACATTCTAGGTGTACTATAGAAAAAGAATACTCATTAAATCAATCAGCCTTTGGCCTTTGTTTTGGCATTGGTAGTACCTCTACTGGCAACCACCCCCTTCCCTACTGGTCTACTCGTTTTGGCATCTAGAGGATTCTGTTGCACCGTCGCTTCAGGGCTTTCTCTTCCCGAAGCATTAACACTCGCTATCCCTGACCTGCTGCCATGTGCAGGCAGCTGGCTTTTCCCAGTACCTTCTACACCGCCAGCAGCACTTTGTTGCTTCAGCCCAGAATCTGCCATGCTTCCTTTGTCCTGGCCCTTCTGCACCTCTTGCTGCGTCGCCTTGTGCGGCTGCTGGTGCTGTGGTACTTGGTCTTTGCGCCCACTGGTCTCCATGGTTTCTTCCTTCCCACCTACTTTCACGTTTTTCCCACCTCTTACAGGGCCCTCTCTCCCACCTTTGCCCTGGGCTACACCTTTCCCTGCTGTTGCACTAGCAGCAATTTTTGCTGCACCACCCACTGCCTTCACTTTACTGCTTGCAGCGGACATCTCAACACTAGATCCCGCCTTGTGGGCTGTTGCTGACGCCTCTGCAGCCTGTCTCCCCTGTGCACTGCCACTGTCAGCCGCAGCTGCTTTCCCACCTTCAACTCTCCCTGATTGCCCTTCCTTCCCAGCTACCTTCATCCCCTGCCCCGTTGCTGCTTTACCACCTGTTACTCTTGCTGCTGTCTTGCTGCCTGCTGCTGCTGCTGCTGCTGCTGTGCCTGTGATGCTACGCACTGCAGGACTGCTGACTTTAGGAGTCAGAGCAGCACCCTTGCTTGCTGCCACTGCACTGCCTGAAGCAGCTCCAGCCTTTCCTCTGCCACCTGCTGCCTGCTTGCTACCCACCACCTCTGCCCTCTTGCCCCCCTTGCCACTGCTCACGTGCCCCTTGGCCCCCATATCCCCTTGAGCCCCGCCCCCTCCCTGCTTAGCTGGTACTGCCACCACCACCTCCTTCCCTGCACCTGCAGTGCGGCTGGCATTCCTTTGAATATCACCATGCTCACCTGGCACAGTCTTGCCCTTCCCTGACTGCCCCCCTGTGCTTCCTCCTGCCACCGCTGCACCCTGCTTCTTCACTCCTGAACCACCAGCCACTGTTCCCCTTCCTGCAGTTGCTGCTGATATTCCCACTCTGTGCTCACCCGAACCACCTGATGCTGCACCCGAACCACTTGATGCTGAACCCGAACCACCTGATGCTGCACCCGAACCACCTGATGCTGCACCCGAACCACCTGATGCTGCACCCGAACCACCTGATGCTGCACCCGAACCACCTGATGCTGCACCCGAACCACCTGATGTTGCACCCGAACCACCTGATGCTGCACCCGAACCACCTGATGCTGCACCCGAACCACCTGATGCTGCACCCGAACCACCTGATGCTGCACCCGAACCACCTGATGCTGCACCCAAACCACCTGATGCTGCACCCGAACCACCTGATGCTGCACCCGAACCACCTGATGCCGCACCCGAACCACCTGATGCCGCACCCGAACCACCTGATGCCGCACCCGAACCACCTGATGCTGCATCCAAACCAGCGACTGCTTTACTTCTCTGCTGCGTTCCTGCCACTGCTGCCATCACCTTGCCTCTGCCCTCTCCTCCATCCCCACCCCCTTGCCCCTCAAAGCGAACAGCAGCAGCAAATGAGTTGGCTTCATTCTTAATCTCAACGCCATCCTCTCGTCGCACACCCGTGCGCTCTGGTTGCCTGTCCCCTCCCACCTTGCCCTGCTCCCCTGATTCCTTCCCCAATGCACCTGTCCCACCACCTTCCTTCATCCCAGCCAAACTCCCCTCCTCCTTCTCCTTACCCCCGCCCTCCACCTCTCCTTTGCCTCCATACTTCCCCTCTTCTATTGCACCTTCCTTCTCTCCACCTTTTTCCTCCTTCCCTTCTGTCTTCCCTTCCGTCCTCCCCTCCGTCTTCCCATCCGTCTTCCCATCCGTCTTCCCCTGCGCCTGCTTCTTCTTCTTTTTCGTCTTCTTCTTGTCCTTGTGTTTCCACGGCTCTGTGAAGCTGATCTCAGTGTCATTTGAGTCCGTGGGGAAGTCGGGCCACAGCCGCTCCCGCTTGGTCACATCAACATGCATGGCGTCCCACTCCCTCTCCTCCATCTGCCCCTCGTCATCTGCTTCACTTGCCGCTTCCAGCCTGCCACCAGCGTCAGCAGCAGCACCAGCGCCAGCGGCATTAGCAGCAACAGTACCAGCAGCGTTACCAGCACCAGCGGCATTAGCAGCAGCAGCATCACCGGCGGCGGTGGCAGCAGCAGAGGTGGCAACAGCTGGAACGGCTGTGGTGTTTGCTCCACTTGTCGCTGCCACGGCCCCAATGGCAACACTACCGGCACCGCCAGCACTGCCGGCACTGCCAGCCCTGCCAGCAACATCACCAGTGTGAATCGGTGTGTGAAGCGCAACAGCAGCAGCAGCAGATGATGAAACCGTGGCAGCCCCAGCAGCAGCAGTAGTGGCAGCACGAGACACAGAGCCACCACCAGCAGCTGCACCAGCAGCAGCAACAGTACCCCCTTGCCCCACACCACGCCCAACAAACCCCACCCCTGCCATCCGCCCCTCCCCCCTCTGCTGCCCCTGCTGCTTCCCCTTCGCCCCTGCTGCCCCCCCTGTCCCTGGCGAGACCTGGCGCAGGGCCCAGTGGGGGGGAGGGCGACAGCCACGGGAGGCGAAGCTGCAGGGCGGGCAGGTGTCAGGGGGAAGCGAGGCAGTACTGGTGGCGGAGGAGTTGAAAAGGGAAGAGCTGGCGGTGCAGCGAGCACAGTCCTGCTGCGACGCATGGCACTCTGCAGGGGTGGTTAGAGGGGAGAGCAGGGAGGAGAGGGGAGAGGCGAGGGTGGGAAGGAACATGGGGGTGATGGGTAATGCAACATAAGGGGAAATGTGAGGGCGGTGCAAGGGGAATGCGGGAGGGCAACTGGCACATGGAGCAAGAGGGATTGAGGAGAGAGGTCGGTGAGTGGGTGAGGTGCGATGGCAGGGAGAGAAGATTGGGGAGAGAGTATAAGGGAGGGCATGTGATGTAACGACGCAGGCACATGGGGGGCATGAGAGGCACAGAGCAAGACCCCTCTCCCACCTCTTTCACCCTGTTCTCACCTCTCCAGCCTGAGCCCCATGCCGCACACAACCCACATGCCTCCCTGCCCCCGTGTCTCACCTGCCCCCATGTCTCACCTGCCCCCATGTCTCACCTGCCCCCATGTCTCACCTGCCCCCATGTCTCACCTGCCCCCATGTCTCACCTGCCCCCATGTCTCACCTGCCCCCATGTCTCACCTGCCCCCAAGTCTCACCCTGCCGCCACGCCTCACCTGGCACGCACGGCTCTCTGAATCTAAGGAACCCGGCATCAGCCAGCGCAATGAGCGTCGCACGCTCCCGCTGCTCCCGCCATGCCTTGCTGCTGCGATGGCACGGGTCGTAGTAGTGGTACGGCGCTGGGTAGTGCGGCGCCGACTGCGAGGAGATGGGAGATAAGGGGGGGTGGGGGGAGCGGGGAGGAGGTGGGAGGGAGGGTGTGGATGAGGTAGGAGCTACAGGGTGTAAGGTTGGAGGGTGGAGAGGAGAACGAGTGAGGCGTGCATAGCAGGGCGGAAGCGCGAGTGAGGCAGGTGTGGCAGGAAGTGACTCACAGTGAAGCCGTAAAGTGTGACGTGCTGGCAGCGCTGCAGCGCTATGAACACAGCTATGAAGCCCGCCGTGGGAGCGTGGCCGGCATTCCTCGTCACGTACTGCATGAAGGCGTGGTGGATGGGGTACGTCTGCACCGTGTAGGACCGCTTGCGTGCCTGGCGGGGACAGCACGGACACGCACATGGATGGCATGCACATGGATGGCATGCACAGGGACCCACATGGGGAAGGGGAAGGGAAGGGGGGATGGGGGGATACGGGGAAATGTGGGTGGGAGACCATAGACGAGGGCACGAGGTGGGGATAAGGTGAAAGCAGCAAATGGGCCTAGGGAGGAGGCGGGGCGCGAGGCGGGGTCTGAGTCGCCTGAAAACAAGAGGGGGGAAAGGGGCGGAGGGTGGGGGGCGAGGGGGTGGGGGCGGAGGGTGGGGGGCGGGGGTGTGGGGGCGGGGGTGTGGGGGGCGGGGGTGTGGGGGGCGGGGGTGTGGGGGGCGCGGGGTGGGGGGCGGGGGTGTGCAGGGCAAGGTGGGAGTGGAGGGGGGCATGTGGCGCGCTTGCGATGCAGGCCCAGGCAACAGGGAGAGCACACGCCAGGCACGAAAGAGACACACGGGCAGTAGGGCTGGAAGGGATGGAGGGATGGAGGGATGGAGGGATGTGTGCGTGGCAGGGCACTGACCGTGATGAGTCCCTGTGCCGTGTTGCGCGACACAATGGGCACCAGCACCTTCTCATCGCGCTCCTGCCGCCACACCACCAGGAGGGGGTAGGTCAGAGCGGGTTGGTTTGAATGTAAGGAGGGTGTTCGAGAGATGAGAATGCAAGCAGGAGTCAAGGGATGCACGAGACAGCAACGACCACGGGAGAGCAGGGACGGGGAGAAGCGAAGGGAGGGAAGGAGAGAAGAGAGAGAGATGCAAGGGAAGACAAGCGAGGCGAGATCCAAGAGAGGGAGGAGTGGAAGCCCATGAGGCGATGATCCCAAGAGCGAATGGAACTAGACCGGGGCGGGTGGTGGAGGAGGGAGGACCAGCTCGAGCGCCAAACATCCTGTGTGACTGTCTGTCTGCATGCCACCCTAAACCCTGCATGGTTGCCTGTCTGTCTGTTCCTTACATGGTCTAACCGTGCACCTCCCCTGTGCGGCATGGGCGGGGGCTAGGGCGAGGGGTGGGGGTCACCTGGAAGCCCCAGTTGTAGAAGTCCGTGACTCGGAAGTTGGTTCGCCGCCCCACCTGCTCCTCAAAGCCCTGCCGTGCCAAGGCATGCACACGTACAAGCACGGACATGGAGAGGTTTGAGTGAGAGGGGGAGCGGGTGTGTGGAAGTGAGAAGCCTACTGAGCATTCCACCACCACCACCATCACCACCACCACCACCACCACCACCACCACCATCACCACCATCACCACCATCACCACCACCACCACCATCACCTCACTGCCTACCTCTCAATGTAACATTTCATTCCACTATCAACCCCTTCATTCCCCTCAGCCTTTCTCTCCATCCCACCCACTTCCTCCCCCTCACTCTCCTCACCCTCACTCTCCTCCCCCTCACTCTCCTCCCCCTCACTCTCCTCCCCGCCACTCTCCTTCCCTTCGAACGCCCCTCTCCCTCTCCCCCCTCCTTTCTCCCCCCCTCCTTTCTCCCCCGCTCCCTCTCCCTCCCCCCCCATCCCACCCCCACCACATCCCATCCCCCCCCCCTCCCCCCAGCAGCAGCAGCGGCACTGACTCGGGTGCGGGCGCGGTTGCAGCGCAGCACGGCGGAGTGGCTGTCGATCTCGCGGCCCGCCTCCAGCTGCAGCAGCACGCCGCTGCCCCCCACCACCGCACACGAGTTGAACGACCGACCCGCCGGCAGCACGTCCGTCACTGCCACGGGGGAGGAGGGCGGACCAGGGGCAGGAGGAGACGGGAAGGCGCAGGAGGGGAGGGGCAGGGGCGGGAGAGGGGGGAAAGGGCGGGGGGGAGGGAAGGGGCGGGATGGGAGGGGAAGGGGCGGGAGGGGAGGGGAGGGGAGGGAAGGGGAGGTGCAGGAGGGGAGGGGAGGGGAGGGGCAGGAGGGTAGGGGAGGGGAGGGGAGGGGCAGGAGGGGAGGGGAGGGGAGGGGCGGGAGAGGATGGGAGGGGAAGGAGGGGAGAGGAGGGGCAGGAGGAGACGGGGTTATGGAAGAGCAGGTGGAGGGGATGGGGACGGGTGGGTATGTGGGTGAGGGAAGGGGAAGCACGCAGACGAAATAGAGGGGTGTGGGAGTACTGACAAAAAGAGGGAGGGGGAGGGGAAAGATGCGCAATGGAGGGCACTGACAGGGGTTCAGAGAGGAGGAAGCGCGTGACGTTGGGTGGTGCGAGCACGACTCACGCAGCAGCACGGCGCGACTCACAGGGCAGCGCGACTCACAGGGCAGCACGTCCAGCAGCTCGTTATCCACCATCCTCAGCTTCCTCTCCGCCCGCAGCAACCCCTCCTCGTCCACCACCTCCTCCTCCTCCCCATCCCCCACTCCCCCTTCCGCCACCCGGCCCCCCTCCCCATCACCCACCCCCTCACCATCACCACCCTTCCCTCCACCCACCGCCCCCCCCCAGCCCCCCCTCCTGCGCCCCCCTCGAGTTTCCCCGCCCCCGGCCCTGCGCCCGGGTCCGCCTGGCCCTCATCCTGCGCCACTTGTCTGAGCGTGGCATCGGTGGCGAAGCCCAGCAGCCAGCGGTGCCCCTCCATGTTGTGCCGGTTCACCACCACGTCGCCCACGTACTGCGCCGACAGGCCGCCCAGCCCCGGGAACGATGACAGGTCGTGCTCCTTCTGTGCGGGCCAATGGGGACACGGGTAGGGGGAGGGAACATGGGGTATGAGGGGTGGGGAGATGAGGGATGGGGGGAGTGGGGGTTAGGGTTGGAGGTTGGGAGAATGAGTGTTACGGGAAGGGGGTTGGGAGTAGGGAAACGGGGTACGGGGGGTTGGGGTTTAGGAGTGGGCAGCAGGATGGCAGTAGGGGGTTTGGGTAAGGTGGTTGCTGACTGAAGGGCGGACGGCGGTTGAGGAGAAAGGGGGGAGGGGCGGAAGGGAGGAGAGGAGGATTGGCGCGGGCGTGGTTGATTGGCGGGTGGGTGGATGGGTAGTGGTGGAAGGGGGGGAGGGGGGTGGAGGGGGGAGGGAAGAGTGGGGTTGGGGGAGGAGGAGGAGAGAGGGGAGGCGGAAGTGGGGGGTTTGGGAGAGGTGGTTGCTCATTACAGGGCGGAAGGCGGGGGAGGGGAGATGGGGAAGGGGTGCAAAGCGGGAGGAGAAAGATTGGCGCAAACGTAATTAAGGCTGGGTGGGTGGGTGGATGGATGGGTGGGTGGGTGGGTGGGTGGTTGGGTGATGGGGGAAGAAGGAAATGGGTTTGGGGGGAGGAGGAGAGCGGGGGGGCGGGAGGGGCGGGGGCGCACGAGGCATTGGGAGCCGCTGTAGAAGGCGGGGCAGACGCACGTGTCGTTCTGGCACTCGCCCCACCCGATCCGCCCGCACAGCAGGCACGCCACCGCGCTCGAATTCCCCCCCGCGCCCCCTCCAACCGCCGTGCCGTTCCCGCCCGCGCCCCCGTCCGCCCCCCCCGCGCCCTTCCCCGCGCCCGCGGCGGCGGCGGCGGGGTTCTTAAAGCGGGAGAGGATCTGCGAGGAGTTGGCGAGCAGCCACGCCTTGCCCCGCTCGTACATGAGCCCCATGCCCGCCGCGCCGCCCTCCTCGCCCACGTCCGGCAGCGGGATGTACGCCACGCGGAACCGCATCACGCGGTGCGGAATGCGCCGCCGCCCGAACAGCCCGTAGTTAATCGTGAAATACCTCTCCTGCGCGCCCGTGCCGCCACTGCTGCTGCTGCTGCTGCTGCTGCTGCTGCTGCTGCTGCTGCTACCGCTCTCCCCGTCGTCGCCGGCGCCATCGGCGTTTAGACGGTCGGGCCCGCGCGTTTTGATGCTGGGGAGCGCGGCGTGCAGCGCGGGGTGCAGCCACGCGGCGCAGAGCAGTAGCGCGGCGCAGAGGAACAGCGCGCAGAGCTGGAAACGCGGGCGCGGGCACCGGGGCCGGGGGAAGCGGAGCAGCGAGCCGAGAGCGGAAATGAAACCCACGGCGGGTGACGACGACGGGGGCACGAGGCGCCGGTCAGTCCCTGTAGCGGCTAACGCGGCGTCACTGCTATTGCAATTGCTGCTACTGCTGCTATAGCTGCTGCTGTAACTGTTGCTGCTGCTCAATGTTGCGTTGTTTACGCCTCCCGCGCCTAGGCTGGGTCGGCCGCCCCCAGCCGCGTGGTATGCGGACGAGGTGCGCCGCCTGCCGATGCCCGCGTCTTTCATTCAGCGGGGCGCGCACACCACGTGGGGATGCGCGGGCGGGCAGGAGAGCGGCGAGAAGTCGGTTGGTTGGGGTTTGGTACGCGCGCCGTTGACGCCCGTCGGCACGCCGCTCGGCCTCTAGACTGGACTCTCTATTGTCTCTCGCACTAGGTGGGTGGGTGGGTGGCGTGCGCATCTTGTTGGCGGCTGGGAGCGTTGTGCCAGTGGCGTGGCGTGGCGTGGTGTGCTGTGAGGTGATGGCATCGCAGTCGTTGTGGGGCTGGTTTACGAACGGCCAATGATTTGTTCAGGTGTAGGTCGTTTCTGAATACACTCGGGTTATCTAGCTCCAAGAAGTTCTGCTTTTTGTAAGGTGGGAAGCAATCATCCACATGTTAATTCGCTCCAGCTCGTTATTTTATAAGCCATGCGCTAGGTGTTAAATTATATCTTTGATATATAATTGGTAGGCTTGGTAGGTGTTACTGAAACCTACTGTAGAGGGTACAACCCCCTCCTTGTATCCCTCTCTCTTCTAGTCTCACCCTCTTTTCTCTCGTCAACTTCCTCTCCTAGCTAAACCTTCACGCCATTTCATGGCTTCCTAGCGTCCTAGTCTTTTATCATGGTAACAGAGCAGGTTGCCCTTCCCGGGCCTGCTCCCCACGCTTCCACCGCGTACTCGTTCTCCTACTGTCGCCATTTCCGTGCTGCCGTGGCGACCATGCCGAGCTGCCATGGCGGCTTTGTGGTGCTGCCATTGCAGCTCCGATGTGCCGCCGCGGCATCGACGCCTCGCTATGGCGGCGTCGTAATGCTGCAGTGGTTGCGTCATCGGGCGCCAGCCGGCCGGGCAACATCTGAGGCGCCGCCAGTCCTGACGCCCGCACGCCAGCCACGGGCGTGATGCGGGACCACGCCGCGCCCTCCTTCCCCTGCTTCCCCTCTTCCTCGCGCAGCCGGAGGCTGACTCCTGCCGTCGTCCCATCGTCGCGGAACGCGGCCACGCCGCCGAGTGCTGCGAGCTCCGCCGCCGTCGCCGCCGCTATTGCCGCTTGCGTTGGGGCCACGCCGCCGCTGTTGACGCTGCCGCCGCTGTCGACGCTGCCGCCGCTGCCGCCGTCGTCGCCGCAGCCCTCGCTGTCGATGTCGCTAACTCACGTACTGAGGGGCTCATCACACTGGAGTAGCCATCGCTGCTGCCGACTATGGGGGTGCTAAGCTTAGGGGGTGTGTGGTGTGCTTTCGGCTACCAAGCCTAGGGGGTGTGTTAAATTTTATCTTTGATATATAATCGGTAGGCTTGGTAGGTGTTACTGAAACCTACTGTAGAGGGTACAACCCCCTCCTTGTATCCCTCTCTCTTCTAGTCTCACCCTCTTTTCTCTCGTCAACTTCCTCCCCTATCTAAACCCTCACGCCATTTTATGTCGCTACCGTGCCCCGCCGGCCCCTAGCGCGCTCGCCGGCCCCAAGCGTACCGCCGGCACCTAGCACACCTCAACGGCCCCTAGTGTGCCCGACGCCCCTTTCGCACCATGCCGGCCCCTTAGCGCCCCGCCGGCCCCTCACGCCGTGCCGGCCTCACGCGCCTAGCCAGCCCCTCGCGCCGAGCCGGCCCCTCGCGCCTAGCCGGCCCCTCTCGCCTAGCCGGCCCCACGTGCCGAGCCGGCCCCTCGCGCCTATCCAGCCCCACGCGCCGAGCCGGCCCCTCTCGCCTAGCCGCCCCTCGTGCACCGCCGGCCCCTCGCGCCTAGCCGGTCCCACACGAGCCGTGACGGCCCCTTGTGCTGTGCCGGCCTCTCGCGCCTAGCCAGCCCCTCTCGCGCACTGCTGGCCCGTCGCGCCTAGCCGGCCCCTCGCGTGCTCGTCGGCCCCTCATGTACGCACCGGCCCCTCCCGCACCCGCCCGGCTTCTCGCGCGCCTTGCCGGCCCTTCGCGCACCTCGGCCCCTTGCACGCCCACCGGCTCCTCGAGCGCCCATTGGCCCTCCCACGCCTCTGGGCCCCAGCACTATGCCGGCCCTTTGCACCCTGCCGGCTCTGCGTGCCTCGGGCCCTGTGCGCCTCGGGCCCTCATCGGCCTCCCGCCCGGTCTTCTTGCCGGAGAGTCCTGCCGCCACCCTGTTGTGCTGCCGTGCCACTGAGTACCTATGCCGCTATGTCTCCGTGCCGCAGTGCCACCGTGCCGATGTGCCGCCGTGTACCTGTGCCGCTGAGGTTGCATGATGGCGGACGCCGTACTTCGCCTTAACGCGGAGGGGCATGCGATCGACTTTGCGGCCTGGCTTGTCGATCTTCGCCGGCACCTGACAGGTCAGCGCCAGGATGGGCACTCCCTGGCTATGCATCTTGATGGCTTGCTTTCCTGCCCCCCCACGCCTCATCCCCTCCCTGCTGATCCCACCAATGTTGAGAGTGAGGCCTTTTCTGCTGCTTTACTCGCTCGAGCTGTCGGGGATTCTCGCAATGCTGTAGCGCAGCTGGCCATTAGTCATGCGCTTCCCCTATCTGAGCGTCCAAGCTTCACTGCTGTCGCGAATGCCAAGGACTTCCTAGATGCCGTAGTTGCGCGCTACTCCACACCTGCCTCCGCCTCCGCTGGTCGCTTGATCCTCCCCATGCTATTCCCTGATCTTTCCACTTTCCCCACTGTCGCTGAACTCGCCACTCACCTCCGTGCACTAGAGACTAACTACCGCGCTGCTAGCATTGACGCCCAGCTTACTACCTTCCCCCCACCATTCTGCGCTACCCTCTACCTTATTGCCATGCACCTACCAAACCGCTTAGCCACTGCCCGCGACCACTTCCTTAGCCAACACCCTGGCGATCTCACCTTTACCGCCTTTCTTATTGCCCTGTCTAAGATAGAGACTCGCTAGCGCACTATCGCTCAGTCGAGCGATGTTGCGGCAGTCCCTATCTTTCAGGGTTGTCCTCCTTCCCAGGGCACGTATGCTGACATTTCTACTGCGGTCGCCGCTAAGACCGCAGATGCGGCCTTCCAGCAGCAGCGACATCGTCAAGGCCACCTCGGCCCCAAGGGAGGGTGTGGTGGTGGCGCTGGTGGTGGTAGTGGTGGTGGCGGGGATAGTGGTTCCGACGAGGGGGTTGGGGCTGGTGTCCAGGAGCAGCAGCAGCCGCAGTAGACGCAGCCGCAGCAGTCGCAGCGGCAGTAGCAGCTGCAGCAGCCGCAGCAGCAGTCGTGGGCCCGCCTCCCACCAGAGTGGCGGCCCCCGAAGCTCGGCATCTACCAGCGGCTTCCGCGCTGTGAGCTGCTAGTAGCAGCTCCAGACCGAGCCCCTTCATGGCACTGTGTGCCGCAGCCCACACCCGACCGCCCGCTGCTTCCGCTGCCTCGACGACCTCTTCCGTCGCCGCTTCGGCCCAGCCCCGGACCTCCCCGACTGGCCCAGTCTGCTTCGCCACAATGTGCCTGTGTTTGACTTAGACATGGATCAGATTGGTTCTGCCTTGCATTCTCTGTATGCTGACGCTTCTAGTTTGTCCGGATCTAATACCCCATGTTCTCTAGCTTAGGCGTAGCATCTGCGTGTAGTACAGACTCCCCTGCTGCGTCAGGCGTAGGACTGTTTGCTTTGTCTAACCTAGGCTCTCCACTCGCCCCTCCTTCGTCTACCGCTACTGCTTCGCTGTCCTTCACACTTGACTCCGTTGCATCTGCCTGCTTCTTCCGCGACCACGCCACCCTCACGCCGCTTGTCACGCCCGCCGCGGTCACACTTGCTGACCCCTCTTCTGGTCCTGTCGTTGCTCACAGCTACACTACCCTTCCCTATCCGGCGGTTCCCTCGGGTTCCCTTACAAGCCTGCACATTCCTTCGTTCTCCAGGAACCTAGTTGGTGTTGGCTGTCTTCAGGACCTCGGCATCCCCACTATGTTCCCTGGTCACGAGCGCTACGCTCTCTGTACCAAGGCCGCCTCAGGTTCCCCCCTTGCGATGTTCCCCCGGGACCCTGCGTCTGGCTTGTTTACGCTAGACACTGTTTCCCCCTCGGTTGGGGCGTCCTCCCCGGGCCCTGCGTCTACCCAGGTCACCGCTGCTTGGTCGTATCGGTCGCTCACTCACCCGTCGCTTCTGTGGCACCACCGCCTAGGTCATCCCGCACTCCCGCATCTGCGCCACATGTCCCAGCACGGTCTCGTCATAGGTCTCCCTTCATCGCTTCCTGCCCTCCCTCCCTCTCCTGTGCTGCTGTGCACGCCTTGCGTTGAGGGCTGGCTGCGCCGTGCTCCTCACTCCTCCTCGCCTCGCCATGTCACCGGACCACTCCAGACCCTGCACCTGGACGTCTGGGGCCCTGCCCCTGTCCCTGGGCCGCGTCGCAAGCATTACTTTCTCGTGCTCGTCGATGACTACATGCGCTACACCACAGTGTGTCTTCTCGAGCGGATGGCCGATGTGCCTGACGATCTTATCCCGTGGGTCGTAGCTGCATGCCTCCACTGCGGTCTTCCTGTGATGTGTCTCCACTCCGACCGACCTTGACAAACTCTGCATAGCTGTATCGTATGATTTGGCAACAGTGATTTGGAAGCACACCGACATTTTTCCAGACAACTTACCGGTGGGCGTGCCACCTCAGCGGCCGCATGACCACAAAATCAAGCTCGAACACGGCGCGCAACCTACTGTTCGGACCCAATGGCGGCTGAATCGGCCCGAGTTAGATGAACTTCGACGCCAGCTGGACTACCTGCTCGAGAAAGGCTTCGTCAGCCCCAGCACATCACCATTTGCATCTCCGAACCTGTTCACACCAAAGAAAGATGGCGATCTGCGTATGTGTATCGACTACCGCGCCTTAAATCGGGTTACCATCAAATCTCGCTACCCCATACCACGTGTCGACGATCTCATCGACCAACTTCGTGGGGCCAGTTTTTTCTCGAAGATTGACCTGCGCGGCGGTTACCACCAACTTTGCGTGCACGAAGCTGGCTGCTACAAGACAGTTTTTCGAACACGATACGGGAGTTATGAGTACACGGTCATGCCCTTCGGATTAACAAACGCGCCATCGACCTTCAAGTTGACCATGAACGAAGTTTTTCGGCCACTGGTGGATAAGTGCGTCAGCGTGTACCTCGACGACATTCTCGTCTACAGCACAACCCGGGAGCATCATTTAAAGGATTTGG